TCTGGTGGCTGTCTCACTGACAGCTGCTAGAGGAGCTTCCGCGATTCTCACAGTGAGAAGACACTGAACGTCCATAGGAAAGCATTGAGTAATGCTTTGCTATGGGCGGTTTAAATGCGCGCGAGCCTCTTGCCGCGCATGTGCATTCGGAGTTGAGAGGCGGACACTGGGGAGTCCGACGCTGGAGAAAGGTAAATGCTGAAGACACACACACACACTCTCACGAACAGACGCATACACACTAGCTAACAGACACACACATTTACTGACAAACACACACTCACTAACAGACATCAAACACACTCAGTAACACACACAGTAACACACTCACTAGCAGACACACACCCAATAACAGACACACTCACTGACACACATCACTAACACACACACACACACTAACACACCACACTAACGCACACACACACTAACACACACACACACACTCACACACACACACTAACACACACATACACTAACACACTAACACACAAACACACTAACACAAACACTAACACACACACACACACACACACACACACTACACACACACATACACTAACACACACACATACACTAACACACACACACACACTAACACAAACACACACCTACCCACATACACTAACACACACACACACACACACACACTACATACACTAACACACACACTAACACACACACACAACACTAACACACACACACTAACACATACACTAACACACAGACTAACACATACACTCACACACACACTAACACATACACTCACACTAACACACACACTAACACATACACTAACACACAGACTAACACATACACACACACACACACACACACACATACACTAACACACAAACACACACTTTTTTAAAAATTTAATCCCCCCAGCCTCCTTACCTTTTGGAGTGCTGGGGGGATTCCCTGGGGTCCAGTGGTGCTGCTGGGCTCCTGGTCACTGGGTGGGCGGGCTGTCTGGGCGGCCGGCGTGCGAGGGAGCACCTTACACTGAGTGCTTCCTCTTCAGCTCCCTCGCGCCGGCTCCTGGGCCCCCCACGAGAAGAGGCTGGCCCTGTGGCTACATACCGGGTCGCAGGGGCGGCCGGGCCCCCTGGTGGGCCGGGCCCGGTTGCAGCCGCGACCCCTGCGACCCTGGTATGTACGCCACTGCCTACCACCCACTTTTGTATCTTTATTGATGGTAAAATTTCCTTACCGCCCACCAGTGCCACAGTAACTAAATTTGTAGCACAAGTGCGATTTGATTTTGTAACAAGGGGGGGGTTTAAAAAAAAAAAAAAACTAAAAATGTACTATATATATATATATATTTTTTTTTTCTTCCATTTTTTCTATGTGTGTCTGGGAGGTGCGGTGTGTGAGAAGAGTGCATTGTGTATGAAGGGTGTAAGAAGTGGGTATTGTGTGTATGTGTGTGAGATGCTGTGTGTGTGAGGAGGGCAGTGTGCATTTGAGGAAGGCAGTGCGTGTGAGGAGGGCAGTGTGTGAGGAGTCAGTCTGTTTCTCTGTGTGTCCGAGGGGGCTGTATGTGTGTGTGAGGGGTGTAGAGTGTGTGAAGGGGCAGTCTGTGTTTGTGTGTGAATGGTGCATAGGGTCTATGCTGTGTGTAGGTGGGTGAGATGTGAAAATCTATATTAATGTCTTCACCTCCCTTCTTCTTACCTTTTACCAGGGAGGGGGGACATAATGCTGCAAGCCCTGGTGGTCCAGTGGTGGCATGTTCTCTTTAGTGTGCAGCTCCTCTGTCTGCAGGCTGACTCTCCTGTCCTCCTTTGAGCACAGCACTGTACCGGAGTGTTGCCATGGTAACGCATGGCAATGCTCCGACCATCCTGCTCGCGCGAGGAACACAGCATGCCAGGCCCTTCCCTCCCTCTGCTGGAACTAAGTGCTTTGAGTTCCTCACCAAGGCTGGTTCTGCATGGGCCGGAAGGGGAGATTAAATGATCTCCATTGCTGTCCACGGCCATCAAGGCCCACTGGGCGTTTTCTGCAGAACCCACCACCACCCACCTGAAATCCCAAACCGCCCAATAGTGGGCAGTAGGGACCAGGTTAACTATCCATGCCCTAAGGAAATTATTAATCAGATTCAATTCCAATGTAATATGGAAAAGGTTTAGATAAGACCTTAAATAATAAAAAATTAGATTTGGAACCCCTGGGCAATATACTGGAAAACTAAAGATATATAGAAGGAATTTACAGTCAACTTCGGAACCAAATGCAATTTAATTATATATACGAACCTCCTTTTTTTTGTCTCTCTTCCCCACTATGATATAGTATGAGTGAAGTTTACGTCCAAACTATTTGTAAATATTTTTAGCTCCTAATGGCCCTTACCCAATCGTAAAAGTAATTATAAAACTTTTGAATTTATCTCAATGTATGGGTAATAAGATCAGGGCTAATAATAAATGCAATGTTGTACAATAAAGAGCTATTATATGTAAACAATGTATGTATAATTCTAAAGAAATGATAATTGTAAAGTATGAATGTATATATATATATATTATATATATATATTTGATTTAAAAAAAAAAGTTTTTAGTCTTACACTCCCCTTTAGTGTATCTCTTACAAGCCCCTTGTGTGTCTCATATCCCCCCTCTTTGTATGTCTCCTACATCCTCCCAAGCCCCTTTGTGTCTTACTCTTCCCAGCTGCTTGGTGTGTCTCTTTTCCCCCCAGTCCCCTCTGTGTGTCTCCCTCACAAGTGACTCTGTGTGTCTCTCTCCTTAGCCCCTCTGTGTCTCTCTGTCTCCTATACAAGCCCGTCTGTGCTTCTCTTTCACCCCTTCCGCAGCCTTTCTGTGGGTCTTACACTCCCTCCGTCTCTAAATGATCTCTTCCACTTCCTGTCCCTTAGTGGTCTCAGCTCCATTTCTCCCACTGTCCCATAGAGGTCTCCTATCCTGTCTCTTAGAACTCTCCCCTCCCCTCCTGTCCCTTAGTGTTCTTCCCTCCCCTCCTGTCCCTTAGTGTTATCCCTTTCCCTCCTGTCCCTTAGTGCTCTCCCCTCCCCTCCTGTCCCTTAGTGCTCTCCCATCCCTTCCTGTCCCTTAGTTCTCGCCCCTCTCCTCCTGTCCCTTAGTGCTCCCCCATGCCCTTCTGTCCCTTAGTGCTCTCCTATCCCTTAGTGCTCTCCCCTCCCTACCTGTCCCTTAGTGATCTCCCCTGCCCTCCTGTCCCTTAGTGATTTCCCCTCCTGTCCCTTATTGCTCTCCCCTGCCCCTCTGTCTCTTAGTGTTCTCCCTCCTCCCCCATCTTTCCCTTAGTGGTCTCCCCCATCCATCTTTCCCTTAGCGGTCTGCCCCTCACCCCCTCTCCCCAGTGTCCCTGAATGGTCTCTCCTCCCTCCCTCAGTGTCCCTGAATGGTCTCTCCTCCCTCCCTCAGTCTATATGTCTTAATGGTCTCTCCTCACCTCACCTCTCACCCTCTGTCCATTGGTGGTCTCTCCTCCCCTACCTTAGTGTTCTCTACTCCTCTCCCTCCCCCGAGTGTCTCTTAGTAGTCTCTCCTGCCACCCCCCATCTTTCCCTTAGTGGTCTCCCCCCCAGCTTTCCCTTTTACCTTAGTGGCCTTTCCTCTCCTCTCCCCCCCAGTATCTCTGAGTGGTCTCTCTCCCCAGTGTCATTTAGTGGTCTCTCCCTCCCCAGTGTCCCTTAGTGGTCTCTTCCTCTCCTGCCCCCAGTGTCCTAAGTGGTCTCCCACCGGTGTCCTTAGTGGTCTCTCCTCCCCAGTGTCCCTAGTGGTCTCTCCCCGTGTCCCTTAATGGTATCTCCTGCAGCCCCTAGTGTCCCTTAGTGCCATCTCCCATCCCTTCACTGTTGTGCCTCCTACCTCTGTGTAGCGTGGTCGGGTGGCGTGGACTGCGGTATAGGAGCCTCTGTTTCCTGTACCCGGCCAGACTGACAGGAAGTGCTCACTGAGAGAGCACTTCCTTTGAATTCGGACGGGTACAGGAAGCTCCTGTACCGCAGTTCGCACTGCCCGGCATGCTACATTGAGTGACTGGCAGGAGGGAGCGCTGTGCCGGGTCACTTGAAACCCCTTGGGGACTGTCACGGGTGACGGTACGGAAACCGGAACCCCTGAGTGCCTGATGATAAGTGGGAGTCTTCATCGTGGAAGAGGATTAACAGGGCCTGGTGCAGGGTAACCACACGCCCCCTGGTGTTAAGCACCAGCGTTTGTGCGGCCACATACCAGAACCCTGATGCAGCTACTGCGGATCCCAAAAGCTAGGAGCAGAAATTAAGCAGACCTCCCAGGAGCTGAATAGGGAGGCTCTGCAGCAAGAATGTATCCAGTACAGAAACAAGACAAGGCTAGGATAGTCACCAAACATGAAAACAAGACAGAACTAGGAGAACCCAGAACTAGAGAAGGATAGGAAGCTAAACCCAGAACATGTACACAATACATAAGGGAACATTAACTAAACAGGGGCAGGACAGGACTGTACATGGACTGGGAATACAAACTAAAACAAGACAAGATATAATAGGCAAAACAAGAGGAGACATAACTAAGCACTATATATGAAAAGTATGGGGATTTAGTTACATTATATGATCATACATTGCATAAGCCTGCCACAATGCCAATGTACCCCATATTCGGCAGGTCCTACACTGCCTAATGTTCGCTAAAAGAACCATACTAAACCACAATAGCACTTACCTGCAAGAAAGGCACTTACCTGAAACATTGCTGCAGGTCCAGACTGAAACAAAAGGGAAATGGAAAACAAACGGGTGTGGCAACATAAAACAAACATATAAATGAATCCAGGGACGGAATAATGGAATGAACCCAGAAAACCCAGCATAAGGAAAACCAGACATGGAATAGAAAACCAGAAAAAAAAAAGAAAAACTAAGCAAGGATTGTAAAAAGAGTACTGGATACCAGAAGCCATCACCAGAATGATCCGCAGCATGGAACAGGATGTGACATAACTCCTCTCCTAAGGAGCGACCTCCGGGCGCGACAATTAGCTCTCAGGCAGAGACCATCAAAGAAGTGAGGATCCAGCAACTAAGTCCTCAAGACTTACCGGAGGCAAGGATTCCCTGACACAGCAGGAAAGTAGTTTGCAGCTCACAATGCCATTCCGAACTACTTTACTTCCTTTGGAAAGGTCTCCTGCAAAGGAACCACCAGCCAGGACCGAGATCCACTCCAGAATAGGAGCACTGCCATGAAACAGGAACCAAGCATCACAAGAACACCTGAAGCGACCACCGTACAGCTTAGCAGATCGACCTCCTCCACGACAAAAATAAGGAAGCCATCTCCAGCAGACTGGTCCAGATACAGGATCTCTTGCAAGCAGAAGAACCAGGCATGACACGACACAGACAGAACACGAAAGCTGCAAAGTCCACGCCACGAACTCCAAGTGCCTACGGCCTTCTGTCACGGGTGGCGGTACGGAAACCGGGACCCCTGAGTGCCTGCTGAGAAGTGGGAGTCTTCAGCGTGGATTACAGGGCCCGGTGCAGGGTAACCGCACGCCCCCTGGTGTTGAGCACCAGCGTTTGTGCGGCCACAAACCAAGACCTTGTTGCAGCTACTGCGGATCCCAAAAGCTAGGAGCAGGAATTAAGCAGACCTCCCAGGAGCTGAATAGGGATGCAAGCTTTTCTATGTGCAGGCCAAAAGATAGATTGGGGTCTAATATCATACCCAAGTATTTGAAAGAGTGGACTGCGGTCAGTGTGCCATTTGAATTTGTTTTGATGGATATGTGGGAATTGTGTAATTTAGGTACTGTTCCAAAGATCATTGTGACAGTTTTGTCAGTGTTCAGGAAGAGTTTGTTTTTTGCGATCCACCTTTCTACCTCGGTAAACTGGTCTTGGAGCACAGCCTCAAGTTGCGGTAGATTGGATTTGCTCGCATAGATTACCGTGTCATCTGCGTACATGTGTACATTTGAGGATTTGCAGACATTAGGCAGATCATTAATAAATAGTGTAAATAGTAGGGGTCCGAGAATGGAACCCTGGGGAACACCACACGTGACAGGGAGGGAGTCGCTGTCAGAAATGGACACATATTGCGAGCGATCCGATACATACGATCGAAACCAGGTTAGTGAATCAATACCTGTGTTTTTGAGTTTGTGCAGTAGAATGTCGTGGTCTACTGTGTCAAAGGCCTTAGCAAAATCAAGGAAAATAGCTCCAGTTAGGGCTCCTTGTTCCATGCCAGTTTTGATGTCATTGCAAACTTTTAAAAGGGCAGTTGTAGTGGAGTGATTCTGGCGAAAGCCCGATTGATCAGAAGTCAGATAGTTAAATTGTTGGTAGTACTCACAAAGTTGCGTATGGACACATTTTTCTAAGATTTTTGACAATACCGGGAGCAATGATATTGGGCGATAGTTAGAAACCAAAGTAGTGTCACCACTTTTATGGATAGGCACTACTCTCGCAGTCTTCCAAAGTTTGGGTATGTATCCAGACACCAAGGATTCGTTAATTAGAGCTGAGACGGATTTAGCAATTGCCGGTGCACTGAGCTTCAACAGCATTGCTGGGATTTGATTGGGTCCATACTGGTTTTTCATTTTTACATTATTAAGATGTTTTTTAATGACACTAACAGGTACAGGTCTAAAACTAAACTTGTCTATATTGGGCCTTTGCAAATTTAGTGTGACCTGAACCACATTAGTAGTTTCAGGATGCGTATCATTTATTAGCTTGGCAATCAGGGCAGTAGAGCATCCGACAAAATAATTGTTAAAGGCATTTGCTACATCTAAGGGAAGTTGCAGGGTTTGGTTAGCCACTTTGACAGTGGAGGGTTGGGAGTGGATTGGGGGAGTTTGTAGTTTATTTATGACTTTCCAAAAGTTTCTAGGGTTTGAGATGTTATTGTTGAGATTTTCAGAGAAATATTGGGCCTTGGCCAATTTTGTCTGTTTTGTGCATATATTTTGCCATTGTCTATATGCACAGTGATCATTCATAGAGCCAGTATGCTTAAACTTTGACCACAAAGAATCCAGAAACTGGTACATTTGGATGAGGTCAGCTGTGATCCAGTTCATATGTGCTCCTTTTACCCTCACCTTACACAGCGGGGCATGATCATACATTGCATAAGCCTGCCACAACGCCAATATACCCCATATTCGGCAGGTCCTACACTGCCTAATGTTCGCTAAAGGAACCATACTAAACCACAATAGCACTTACCTAGGGCAGAGACTTGAAACACTGCTGCAGGTCCAGGCTGAAACAAAAGGAAAATGGAAAACAAACGGATGTGGCAACATAAAACAAACATATAAATGAATCCAGGAGACTGGGAATTCCAGGGACGGAATAATGGAATGAACCCAGCATAAGGAAAACCAGACATGGAATAGAAAACCAGAAAAACCAAGAAAAACAAAGCAAGGATTGTAAAAAGAGTACTGGATACCAGAAGCCATCACCAGACTGATCCGCAGCATGGAACAGGATGTGACAGGGACTGCCTAAGTCGCCTCTAGGACGCGCCGGCCCTGATGGTACCTCATACCCCCCAGAACACATTAAGCCACAGGGAACGGGGTATAAATGTTAAGTTGTTTTCTTTTTTAGTTAAAATTTATTTTATTTTTATACTTGACTCTTCACAGCCCCTGTCCTACCCTACACTACAGCCTGTATCCCTCATATATGAAAGCCCATATCCCCCAAAACAGGTAGGCAATCTTTGGCACTCCAGATGTTGTGGACGACATCCCCCATAATGCTCTTACAGCCATAATGCTGGCAAAGCGTCATGGGAGGTGTAGTTCAAAACATCTGGACTGCCGAAGGTTGCATATGCCTGCCCTAGACCTGCCCTATTACCCCACAAACAGATATACTACAGTCCCTATAAAGACATTACTCAAACAATCAACTCCACACACACTATGCTGCAAGCACCCCCATTCACAGACACACAACACCACAAGAAGACTACCCTCACATGCAACCCCACAAACATAATCTCAAAAGCATTATCCACACACACATAATTGCACGAGTAACCTCCTCGCACACTCAACACCACTGTTAGCCTACCCCATACGTACATCCCCACCAGGAGAATCCCACCACCAAGGCCGGCACGTCCCATAGGCGACCTAGGCAGTCACCTAGGGCACTCCGCACGGAGGGTGCCAAATTTGAGTGACCCTGTCACTCAGTGTAGTGTGGCCAGGTGGTGCGGACCAGGCGGCAGCTTAATGTAGTGGTTCTGTTGTCTATAGCCTGTCCCTGCAGGCTTTTTAAAGTAAACACATTGCCTTTTCAGAGAAAAGACACTATGTGCAGCACTGGCGTTGGCTCATATGGCAGATCATATGGGTGAGGTATTGTAATGTCACCTGGTGGGCAGAGAATATGGGGAGGAGCGGCAAATTTGTGTTTGCCTAGTGCAGCAAAAATACTTGCACCGGCCCTGCCCATCCGGATACCATAGGTAGTCTACCTCACACAAAACAGTGCAAGCAGCCTAACCCACAAATGTAACCTCATAAGCAGCTTTTAAACTACAGGTAGCATCCCATGCACACACATACAACATCCTCTCCCTACCCTACCCCTCTTTTGCTCTCTGGTACTCCACTTATCAGAACCACACTAGAGACCAATTACCAGTAAAAGCAGAACAAGTGTAGGATTAAATTGGTTGCACTGTACTAAACAAACACATGACATTTTACCTGTGGAAGCTCTGCAGCAGGGCTCAGCGTGTGGTACCTGTCCTGCCCTGGCTGCAACTGGCTGAGATATTTTCAAACAAATCTTAGAGCTAAAATAAGATCTACTAAGAAATTGCATCCACCCATTCAGGTCAATGTGGTTTAAATTTGGTTGTTTGTAAATAAAGTGAATCTCAGAAGAATTTTATCAGCCAATTTTAAGAGAACTGAGCTATTTTATGAATAGACACCTAGTGCTCAATAGGAGATGGAAAACTTAACAATTATTCCTTATTGTTTGAGGAGAATTGCAAATTTAAGCCTAAATTAGCAAAACTGGAGGCTGCTCAAACTCAACTATTTTGAAGCTTGGTTATTTTGGCCTAAAATTGGTCCCAACGTTTTCTAACACATGCCTTTATAAATCAGCCACTAATACTCCTAATTCCTTTAGAACTGTAGCTACAAATATCACTATCAAGTCTTCAAATGCATAACAAAAAGGCGCTTAGACATCCTCTATATATCTTTAAGGGCAATCAAATCTCAACTTGGGAAAATAACCACTGCCCTCTTGTGGATGAGAATATAAAGAAGCAGTGAATATGTTTCAAACATTAAAAATTAAACAAAGAAAATAAAATAAATCTGCAAAGTAACATGGTCTAGGATAACATATCTACATAATAGCCACCACCATGCTTCACAGTGAGGATGGTATTCTTTTCACTATAGGCCTTGTTGACTCCTCTCCAAACATAGCATTTATGGTTGTGACCACAAAGCTCTATTGTTCTCATCACTCCAAATTACAGTGTGCCAGAAGCTGTGAGGCATGTCATGATGTTGTCAGCATATTGTAACCGGGCTTTTTTGTAGCATTGGTGCAATAAAGGTTTCTTGCTGGCAACTCAACCATGTTGCTCATTTTTGTTTAAATATCGTCGTATTGTGCTCCTTGAAACAATCACACCATCTTTTTCCAGAGCAACCTGTATTTCTCCTGAGGTTACCTGTGGGATTTTCGTTAATTGCCATTTTAACCTGTGTGCGTCACCTTGTGTGTCTGTAACAAGGCCGAATATTCAAGGGTATTTAAACATTTGATCAGGGCCAGTTGGTTGATTTCTGTAATCATTATGATTTAAAAAAGAGCCAAACAACTTTGTAAATGGCTTTATATGATCACTATTATTCAATGTTTTTGATGATCAGTCATATTTTCAAAATCAATGCCAAAATTTCACAATTTCTGCCAGGGTATGCAAACTTTTGAGCACAACTGTAATCACACATGCAGACATTGAGGTTTATTCACGGCCAATCCTGGAAGGGTGCACCGCGTCCATGCGCTAGGTAGTTGTGACAGAAGGAGGGTGCAGAGAGCCCTCAGTGATGCTCCTAGTTGAATGGGCTTGATGATGGGTCATCACTGAGGACTGCTTCTTGCACCCCCACCTTGTCTCCTAATTGATCATTTGTGGAAGGCTGGCACTGAGGAGGCGCACGGCTCCATAAGGGAACTACACACACTAAATCAGCAGTGGAGCATCTCCCCCTCATTTTGGAGCTCCCGATGTCATGTGACTACCCTTGTCTGCGAGTGTGTGTGTTAATATGTCTATGTATATGTGGGACCGCATAAATGTGGTTGTGTG